ATTTATATAAAAACTAGAGGCACAGTGCACGGATTCATGCACTGGTCAGGTCCCTCGGCCTGGCCTGTGGGGATCAGGCCGAAACTGGCTCTCCAACATCCCCTGAGGAGTCCCAGATTGCAAGAGGGTGGTTCTTGGGCGATGCACCCCAAAACTGGGCTCCCTCCTCTCCGGTTCTGGGTGTATCACCTGAGAACCGCAGCTCCAAGTCACCACAGCTTGGCAGGTCCTGCGTTGTGTGTGTGCCCTCTGGTGGTCCGGTATCACCTGAGAACCGCAGCTGCCAAGTCACCACAGCTTGGCAGGTCCTGTGTTGTGTGTGTGCCCTCTGGTGGTCCGTGCGCGTCATAGCTACTGGTTGGATGGTCGAACGGTCAGATGGTCGCGTAGGCTTCTATATACATAGATATTCTTATCCAGCTACTAAGTGTTCAAATTCTAATACATTTTTTTCTACTTGGAAGCTCATAAAAAAAAATCAGGTTTATGGACAACAACATTGTACTAGCTCATTCCTTTTAGTCATTGGCTTAAGGACATCAATTTTCAGATGCTATGGTTTCATTTCCTCAGGTGCTTGGCAGCTTTCTGAAATTTCCTCCTTGCCCTTCAGACTTACCTTCATGTACAGAGGGTACGGTCACATTCTAAGACCCACCCAGCGGGTGACATTAAGACCTGGCAATGTAAGACTGTGATGAGGAGGAAAGGCACAGGGCTGACTGCCCAAGGCAAATACACTGTATCTCACCTTGCCAGCAATGCAGCTATGGCAACAGCTTCTCAACCTTGGGCCAGCCCCACCCAGTCATGAGTCAAGAGGCTTTACCTAGAGGAGGAAACAGCCTGACTCAGCAGTGAAGTGTGGCACGTGGACTGAGACAATTCTGAATTGGGTATTGATACTAAGCCACCCTCAATCCTCAGCAACTGGGGTGCCAGCTCAGATTTCCCTATGAGTTTATGAAAATCACTCTGCCCTCTCTCCCCTCTGCTCTGCAAGACCTCATCTACATGTGAATTTAATATTTACCACCTGGAGATGAAGTGATTGGGCTTCTTCAGGCTTTGGAACAACACTCACAACCGCAGCCAGCTTTGGGGTTTAAGAATGAGCTGCAGCCAATGTGAGGACCCAAGGAAGCTGCTTCTGTAACTGCCTGTTACTCCCCATGCATTAAAGCCTCAGGCCCACATAGGAGGTTTTGGGTCCACCCCAAGGCCCAGCTAATACCTCAGGATCTGCAAAGGTGAAGAACAACAGAATGAAATGGAAAACAGCATGCCTTTTACTGGAAGGGATTAAGCCCAGCAAGCAACCTGATGAATTCAGGGTAGAAATCCAGTTAGTCTGGAAGGAGCAAAGTGAATGAGTTCTTTTCTCACTACCCCCTCTGCCCACCCTAAGAGGGAACAGTCTAGCTACTTCATCAAACCTGTGTTCCCAAATGAGGCAAAATTATCTAGGTGTTGCTCAACCCCAGAAAATAATCGAGTTAAATGAGGCCCTCAAACCCCAACTCAACTGCATGCTCCATTTGTCCGCCGCTTCTGAGTGTGAGGAGCAAGAACAGCGGAGGCATCCGCATCTGGGCTATTCCCCGGAACTGCTTCAGAGCTGGCACTCCTGGGCTCTCACCACCCTGCTTTCCTAGCTTATGGCCCCACTTACCTCACAGTCCCAGCCATGCTCTTTCATCCCCGTGGCCTAGGCTCCCTCCGACCACAACAGCTCACACATCTCTTGCTGTTCAGGGGGCTTCTCTCAACTTTCAGTGTCCCGATGGGTACTGCACCTAAAAACAAGGCCCAACATCCTTCTTTTTCTATTTAAAATCTATTTCCTGCAAGGAGCAAGAGTTCTAAGAATTGGGGCATGAGTGGTTATAAACTCCTATTTGCCCTTTCCTCCACCCCATGGTGCAGATTCAACGTGCATAGTCAACAGTAATAGTTCTAGTAGCATAGAACTGGCATAGTAGCTATGCATAAGGCACTATGTGAATGCTTCCCATGTATTACTTAATCCTCAAAATAACCTTACGGGGAGGTATTATCTTTATTTTTGGATAAGGACTCAGAAAGGCTAGGTATCTTAATTAAGATCCCATTTTATGAGGACGGGGGTGGGATTCAAACCCAGATGGGCTGACTCCACAGCAGTGGCGTTGGAAGGGACGGGGCAGGGGAGGTGGTGGGAGGAATCCACTTGGCTGCAGGTGGAGAGAATTTTAAAATAATAAAATCAACTCAAATTATTACGCCAGGTATAAACTATTTTCAATATAGCAGTGATGCAATATTGTTCCTTACTTGGGTGGATCCCTCCCATCATCTTAATAGGCTAGACAGTGTTGTGTCTGTATATGGTGCCTGACAATAGAACAATCATGGTACAACTGAGGGGAGCTTGACTGCAACACTGCAGATGGCTGAGCAAAGATATGGAAAGAACCTGGGGTTTTAGAATTATTGTGGTAAAATACACACAAAATTTATGATTTTAACCATTCAGTTCAGTGGCATTACATACATTTACAATGTTGTGCAGCCATCACCACTATCCACTTCCAGAACTTTTTCCCCATCCCAAAAAAGAAACTCTGTACCCATTAAACATGACTTTCTATTCTTCCCGCCCCCAGCCCCTGGTCACCTCTCGATGAATTTGCCTCTTTTAAGTACATACAATATCTGTCCCTTTGTGTCTGGCTTTTTTTCACTTAGCATAGTGTTTTCAAGGTTTATCTATGTTGTAGCATGTATCAGAATTTTATTTCT